ATTCACATTCTAAGTTCATATATGAAAATTTTCATAAAATTGTTAACTTACCATATTAGTATGAGAAAAAAAAGTAACTAAATATTTTGATATTATTACTTATTCAATATTAATATTAAAATATTGCATTACATTTCTAATATCAATGAAAACATATTAGAACTACTATTAATAAAATGCACTGATTCTGCTGAACAAGCATCTATCTATTTATGTCTATAAATATACTAGAGAAATAATTTAGATGATCAAGAATATTGTTGTAATATGCTATATTATTTCGCAAAACAATTTTCTTAGTAAAAGAATCAAGCTGTGACTTGTATTTTATATGTATATATGTTTCTTATGAAGAAATAGAGATAAAATATATTCTTGGAAATTTTAGTAAATGTGATGGCTAGAAAGAGAAAAACTAATCTTTATAATGAAGCTAAAAGACGGTAAGAACTAGAACGGTATATTTAGCTTTAAAATTCTAATGAGCACATCACACATTCTTTTTCTCTTCCGCCTTCAAGCTTTATATGACAGATACGAATACTCGAGGCATTTGTATTAAACTAATGTTAATGAAAGAAACAGATACGAGTTTATTGTCATTTGTCACATCTGATTTTTCTATGTTATTATTAATGTAATGACACAAGCTATTATTTTATTTGTAACAGTTATCAAAGATAAATTTATATAACAAGAACCTTAAAAGTCTATCTACACATTTTATTTTCTAAAAAGAAAAGAATTATCTTTCATAGCGACATTTTCTTATGGTAAAATATGTTTGAGGGAAATAATTATGAACTACTAATTAATGTCATACAATCGAAATTGAGTCCTTGGATGACCTAGATATTTCCTTCGATTCGAAAACTAAGTATTAAATTTACTATGAAATTAAGTCTTTTTGTATTTATTTGAATATATTGATGAAAAAATATTATTTTTAAAGTCAATATTCTGAATCATTATTTATTTTAATTGATTGTAAAAAAAATTTCAGAATCTATTTTGATGTTTAAATAGAATTTTTTGATGTATAGATAAAAGGATGATCTTGTGTTGGACATTCGAATCCTTCACCTTGATGCCATGAATATTTTTTAGTACCAACTGATTCAAACATATTATTCCAAAGTGATAATGATGCAACTGAATGACCTTTACCTAAAATAAAAAACAATATAATATGATGATTATACGAGACAAAAAAAAAGAAATATACCGCTAAAATGAAAACAATCTGGAGCAAAATAACTAAAATCAATTTTATCGGCTTTTCGTGGAGGTACAGTTTTAGCCATGAATGGTTGAACAACAACAGTAAAATCATCACGACCATCGTAACGACCGGAATTGATTAAATCAACAACACCTTGTTGATATTGAGGAATCCATTCATTTAAAATTTTTTCTTGTTCTTCAGTTGGATATGCTGCACATGGACATGCTCTTTTCTGAAGAAGTCCACAAATAAAATTGCCATTTTTAAGTTCTTTTGCTGGACGAACATCAAGTACAAGTGCAAGATTTATCAATGTACGAGGTAAATTCGCATTGTATAAACGATCAAGTGTATCACGAATCCAACCAACAAAATTAGCTGGATCATGTTTTTGTATATCAGTACAGAAATCACATAAATCATTTCCCTAAATAAATCAATTAAAATGAATAGAAATAAGACAAAAAAAAATGCATACTCCAATAAAGAATGTTATTAATTTCCAATCATTATTCCAATCACATATTTCTTGATTTCTCAAACGATCTAAAAGAAGATCAGCTTGTTCAACCATATGATAAGAACGAGCACCAGATTTTGCTAGAAAATAGAAATTTGAACTAATAATAATTATAAAAAA